CTGGCTACCTTATCTTTCCCCCCACAACTACTCTAGTTCCCTCCCCATCTCACCCTTCCGTCCCCCTCGACCAGCAACGACGAGACCCCAGGATGGAGAACAGTTCCGGCCCTAGACTAAAAGTGGAACACCGGCACCCCAGGAAGAAACCCCGAAGAACGCCCCCTTCACCTCAGGCACCCGGAAAGCGGATGACGATTCCGCTCCTGGCCCACCTCGATCTGCCCCCCTGCGAAGAAGACGTTGACGGGAAGGAAAGCCACTCGTCTCACGACTGCCCCAGTTAACGCGTCGTGTCAATTGTGCCCAGAGAACCATAGCAATGTAAAGAGGATTGTTGGAGGATCTTGGACCTCATTCCACATCGGAGAGATCAGCCAGGAGACCCTGAGGTGGAGAGGAGGCTCAGCATCCCCTGGAGAGGACCCCGAGAAGGCCCAGGTGTTAATTACCCCGGACAGTTCCCCAGCATCGAGAGGACCTGTGAGTACGAGTTATTTTCCCCTTTTCCCAGTCACTATNAGTGATTCTGAGTTATCTGAGCCTGAAGGGATGGTTAGATTTCACGTTAGTCACAAGGGGTTGAGCAAGTTTCACGCGAGTCACGAGTGTCACAAGAGTCAAATCACACAAGGGTCTCAATTAATAAAGGGAAGGTCAAATTTCGCGAGAATCACGAGGGTCACAAGGAGACGATCAGGTTTCACAAGGGTGAAACGTCACGAGGGTCACGATAATTTTCAAATTGAGCATAGAATATATATTGATTTTTTTTCTGATTCTTTCATATTTTTTCTAGATTTTTATCTTTTTTCTAACCTCGAAAAATGCATTTTTCCATAAGACTGTTATATTCAGGGTAAAAACTATGATTGATTCATCTCAACAGTATATATTATTGAACAGATAATTATGTGATTTCACTTACCTGGTGGGGGTCAAGAATCATTCATTTGTTCACGGCCACATTTCAATAGTGAATATTCGTACCGTGTGAACTGGGATGCCTAGATTGGATATACAATGGTAATTCCATAGCATATTTTCTACATACGATTGCATATTGATTACTAGTGAATCATTTACCGAAAAAATAATCCCAGGTTTTGTATATTTCTTGTGCTGAAAGTGTAAAACTTCACATGCNTAGATTTTTATCTTTTTTCTAACCTCGAAAAATGCATTTTTCCATAAGACTGTTATATTCAGGGTAAAAACTATGATTGATTCATCTCAACAGTATATATTATTGAACAGATAATTATGTGATTTCACTTACCTGGTGGGGGTCAAGAATCATTCATTTGTTCACGGCCACATTTCAATAGTGAATATTCGTACCGTGTGAACTGGGATGCCTAGATTGGATATACAATGGTAATTCCATAGCATATTTTCTACATACGATTGCATATTGATTACTAGTGAATCATTTACCGAAAAAATAATCCCAGGTTTTGTATATTTCTTGTGCTGAAAGTGTAAAACTTCACATGCAGAACGCTTTGCAGCTCTCACTTCCTACGCCAGCGAGTAATCTACTCCCTCAGTCGTGGACGAAGTCTTTTATATGTTTGTGCATGTGTTTATGTGCGTTAGTGTAGCAACTATTGTAAATAACAAGGCGTGTATCAACCGATCGTGTACAAGTTACATCTGCAACTTTTCGTTTGTCGACTTGAAAAACCTTCACCTAGAAGGATGCCGACATCTCATTTTTAAGTTTCGAGAAGCCCTATTAATGAAAATATCTGTCAATAATATCATAAGTAGTTGGATTTTCAAATTTTTATTCCAAAACTTCGGATCATGTATAAGGCGAATTTTCAGAAAAACATGGCAACTTTGAGCATGGATATATAACTAAGGGCAACACTGAATATTAGAAAATCTCACGGGACTTCTTCAAGTATACGATCTATATAACTGTCGATTTTTTTTCAGATTTTTCATAGATCTTTCAAATTTATCATCATGTCGATTTATAGTGGTAAAGCTTATTCAGAGAATAGTAAAGCTTTAAGACAATGTTATTCAAAGTATTATAAAAAGTTCTGTGTGACGCTCATGATGCAACCAACGGAGCGTTAAATGCATTTTAATAGGGATTTTTTGAATAATCGTTTAAAAATTTATTTTTGGAAAGATATCAATATCTCCTAAATTCCATGATGATTTTAATTTTTATTGAGTTTGATAGTATGTTTTTTGTACAATTATTCTTTTTTTTTTGCTCTGTGACCTTTTCCTAATTTCAATTAAATTAATCCCTGAAATGATGAGAGGGTAATTGAAAGAAAAGGGCAAATAAGGGGTTAAGTTTAAATCATGACATATATTCTCTGAACTTTACAATTAATAGATCGTCAGAAGACGTCAAAAAGGCCTTTACTTGAGATCTAGGGGAGTGGGGGAGGCCAGGCAACTTTTGTACACGTAAAAAGGGGATGACTCTAATGCAGATAAACGGGGAGAAGCTAGATGTGTCGAGGGAGTGCAACTAAATATCCAAATAATAACTAAAGGGGAAGAACCAAGAGAGTGTAAGCTCACCGTTGGGGGGGGAATGGAAAGAAATATTGTGTGAGGCGAGGGGGAAATGAGGGGGACAACTCGTACTCACGACTTCCAGGTGTGGTCTGGACTTCCAAAAATTAATCCTGGTCCTTCCGCAACTCCTGTGATAGAGCCTTCGTTCCTCCTCTCTGACTCCAGGGGCACAGTATCTAGAGCCGGGATGAGCTCGGGCACCAAAAATCCTCTTTTCTCCAACACAACGGTCCAATGTATGGACTTCGGGGTATTTGCACTTTCTCGTCGACTAACTTGGGGCGCACGTGGCAGTGTCCAGGACAGCGGTTACACGAGTGCCGCTTCTTCTCTCTTCCATCTTTTCGTTCGTCTCGTTCGTGAGGATTCGCGAATAGTAGAGATCCTTCTGGTCATCTTCGTGGGTGATCGGGGCCAATCATGGTGGTTAGATTGTACCCACAGTCACCATCCAGGTATGTGTCGATGGGGATTATCGAGGGCGGTGGGTTGTCTGGGCCTAGGTATGGGTGGTTTTTTTTTTNGCCTCCCTTCGGCTGCCGTCGTTGCTGAGTCCAGGGGCGATGGTGGAGGGGTAAAGGGGGGATAACTAGGGGAAAGGTACCCAACGGCGGCGGGATTTATGTTTTAGGGGGCAGTGTGTGTTGGGAAAAAATATGTATAAAAATAATAAAAAATAAATGAATATGCCTCGTCACAGCTCTTACTCTCAGTCCTTGTTGAAAATTGTTTTGAGTTAATTTAACTTTCCTTTTTTTGTGAGATTAAAAATTCAAGATTCAAAAATTCATTTCAATTCATTACTTGGGATATATTTTCTTTGAGAGAATTATGCATAATTTTTCTATTTTTAACGTGAATAGAGCTTCGATACATTTCAGCATTAACTTCGGTGTTTCGAATTCCGTGATTTCGTCGAGTGATACCCATTGGCCCGTTTTTCATCCGAACCTACTCTCTCCCGAACCTCCCTCTCTCCATAACCGACCCCCTGAACACCACCTAAACCCTTAAACCCTCCCTAAACCTCCTCACCTTTCCCTAAACTCCTTAGTTTTAAGTTAAGTGTTAGATTAAGGGTAATTTTCTGTATTCTTCGTTTTTCATTTGAAATCCGCTTTGGAAATATTCGGTTTGTGGTCTCCGAGGTCAACGGACGGCTGGCGCCCATCGATACGTTTTTGGAGTTTTCTCATAGTCTAGGGGAAAGGGGCGAGTTAACGTGGTTTTCCACTCCCAGGTGGAAAATTTCGTTACAAAGTAATCAACTGGCAGAAAACCCATTAACCCGACTACCAGTGCAATAACCCCCGTGACTGAATTTCACAAGGGTTGTAGCTTGCGAGGGTCAAACGTCACGAAGACCATACCGTGCAAAGGTCAAACGTCAACAGGGTCATACCTAGCGATCGTCAAATGTCATGAAGGACATATCTTGCGAAGATCATGCCTCGCGAGGATCAAATGTGGCATGGGTCATATCTCTCAGAGATCGTACCTCGTGAGGGTCATCGTTCCAAAATTCAGAGATCGCAAGGGTTATACCTCGCAAGGATCATGTCTCCCTCTAGACTATTGACTATTTTCCTTCCTGCTAAATTTGTTTGACCCTCATAATTGTTGGACAGTTGTGATTGTCTTTCCTGCCTCCCCGGTTGCCGCTTGTTGTCGTTTGACCTTTGAGATTGTCTTCGGCCTACCTCTGTTGTTTAGCTGTCTTACCTGACGGAGCTTTTTCTCACGGACCCCGTGCAGCGTGCGATTCGGCTCTCCCCAATCTCGCGCAGAGAAAACAAACATGTAGAAACAATAATCAGGTTTGAGGGCTAACTGTTACAACGTTTAACCCTCGCGAAGTATAACCCTTGTGAGGTATGACCCTCGTAATCCTGTCAATGATATTCTCGCGCCAGAACTGTGTTGCTCTCAATCACGCACACACGCGGTCAAAAAGGTCTAAAACCTCCTTGGTAAATTACTTGTTTTTTTACATGTAGAAGACTTGGTAAAATACCAGTGGTATTTTACTTTGCCCAACCCTGTATAAAGGTTACTTTTTTCATTGTGTGGAGATTAAAAAACAATTGAATTTATATTTTTAATTTAAAAACAAGGAAAAAGCCTAGATTTAAGCGCAATAATAATCTACAATTATTGTGAAACAGATGCATGGTGTCTTTATTAGTCTGGAACCCCTGGTGATCCTATCAAATTGTAAAACACCCCAGTAGAAACACAACTATTAAAAACTCAAAACACCTATATTTAGTGTTAATGAAAAATACGGAGTACAGAGAACGGAATTCTTTGAATTATTCTATCATAGTCAGTTACTGTGACTAATCACCCTGCTTCTCTTCATTACTTATGCTAAGAGTCTTATAAGGGTTTCTAAACTCTAGACTCTACGCTCTTGGATCCAGAGCGAAATTACGTTTACTCAAATAAAATTCATGTTATGATGAAGACAAATATGTACAAAATTTATTACGTTTATTTAAACATTCTTATAGAACGCTAATAGTCGCTTAAATACATCGGGATTGTATCCCTCAAGCACTGGTCTGGCATTCTCATATTTCGCTTGTTCAAACAGACTGATCTGTGGTGAACACCACCAGTAATTCATTTTTCCCTCTTTTTCCTCGATGTTAAGAGTGTTCAATTGAAACACAGAGAAGTGGAAGTTCTGGCCGTCTACGTGAACACATTGAACCGCCAATGGCTCTGGTAAGTCTTCGACGGAGTCACCGTATTTTTGTCTCGCATAAGTCGCCGTTGTTGCAAATGCTTCAATCAGAGATCTTGCAAATAGCTGATCTTGTTCCACTGGAATTTCCGTCAAGTTTTTTACTCGCTGACAGTCATGATAGATGAAAATCGTGTGAGGAGTGGACCAAGGGGAACCTTGGGCTATAGCTAAATGAAAAATGAAACAAAGGAGTCATGTAATTATTCAATTTCATTGAGATTATTTCGTTTTTTTTTGGCAGTGAACATACAATTCGCTCAGGTGGTGATTATCTAGGAAATAATCACTTGTATGATAAAACTTGAGATAAACCTCTCTCGCAGTCAACGGAATTCTTTACAAAAAAAATATTTCCGTGAAATCTTTAATTGTCACCCATTATCAAGATTATTCATCATTTTTTTAAGGGGGACCCTGATGAAATTTGAAAGTCTTCGGGTTATAAAAATAATTATCGAGCGACTTTTGATATAGGGCTGCGCACGAGATGAGAATTTGGTGTTTCTCGTCTCGGTCTGGGAAAAAAACATAAAAAGTCGATCTCCTCTCGATTTCGTCTCATCTTATATCAAGATATTTATATTGCCTATCTATTAAATGAGTATTAGTTTAAACTTCACAACTTTTTTATGTTTTTATAGAGATCAGAAGTTGCCCACGAGGGAAGTCACAATAGAGCTTGAGCTGATTCGGCATTTAGAGAATTTCTCAATGACGTGATAATTGAGCCTGTAAGAGAGAACAGTTTCTCCACGGGGATTGAAATAGCAGGAATGGAAAATAAATCTCTCGCTATTGTTGACAAAGTCGGGAAAACACTCTCTTTACTCTTCCACCACTCCAATATATATATATTTTTTATCGTTATTTTACATCGCTTCGACCCGGTTATGGTATACGGCGATGATGATCAAGACTTTAAATGGTTAGATCGCACCAGTCTACCCGACCAGAATTTGAACTCGGAACCTTTCGCATGTGAGGTAACGAACTTACCCACTGCACCAAGCCACCGGGCACACTCCAATATATTTAGACTCTTATCAGCTCTTTTGAGCAATAAATACCCATTTATCTTATCCTTCCAATGCTTGTTCCGAGATACTTCAGCGAATAGAGCACTTAGATTAATCCCCTCACGTTCACTGCTACTGTAGCTTCCCCCCATACAACTGCCTAGACCTTCATCAACATTCTCTCGTACTTCGTTCTGGTCTTCGTAATATTTGAGTCGATACATCTCTTCAAATACTTTCAAGGAAGTTTGCTTGGATTCTCTACCCCAATCTGTCAAATCAAATGTTCCAATCGTATGTCTTGAATCCAAAACCAAAACAGCGCAATAAACCCAGTTAGTTTTCTCATAGTAATTAATAATTTTGTCCCAAGCTGCTTGGTAGGCCTTGATCAAAGAAAGCCTTGTTTGTCATTGAGAGCGAAGGATTGCTTTTCTACACGATCCAATAACAAATTAAAAGCAATTATAACCAGGGGCAGAGTTACATACTTTTCTCCTCCCAGAGTTGTCGAAACTGTCTCGAAATCTTTCAAGAAATTATGAATTTGTGTTAATAACGACCATTCATCCTGATTCAATTTCAAGTCCGATAAATTTTCACATTCTGTCCACATTAAATGCAATGCCTTCTTCATCCTCAGTCCTACATTAATCATATGATCGGTGCTGTTCCAGCGAGTCAACATCAAAAACCTTTTAGTGTCACCTGAAGTTCTTCAGAGTTGCGGATTTTTTTAAAAGTCTTCCTCAAATTTGCAACGGCAGCACCCACACTCAGATCCTCAGAATCACCATCAATTTCGGCCTCAGACGAGCTCTTTTTTTTATAGTTATTTTACATGGCTTCGACCCGACTGATGTATGCTGCGATGATGATCAAGACTTTAAATGGTTAGATCTCACCATTCTACCCGGCCGGGTTTTGAACTCGGAATCAGTCTCGGTCTCGTACGCAGCCCTATTTTGACATATCGCATGTCTAAAGGCAAAGGGTCGTATGTGCCACAAATGGCCTTCTCCGGCAAAAGGTCATATCTGCCAGCATATACGACCTTTTGCTTTTAGGGAATCCATCAAAATGAACCCGAAAAATGTAAAATATCTCGAGATTAGTCATCAATCGCGGAACGACCTGTTGTGTTTTATGAAGTTAGAAAAATGTCTCACATAAAATGAACAGGTCATACATCCTATTTTATATCTTTCAATTATCTTGTTATATCTTTCGATTATCTTGGTATGTATAGACGTACCGAAGAGATTGTAGTCTCTTCGGTTCCTATTCCCCCACTATTAGATTATATGGGAGGCAAAGACTAGAATCTCGCCAGTACGCCTATATATTTTCGTACACAAGTATATACGGCCTTTTGCCAAAACGGAACCACAAAAAAAGGAAAAGTACTGAACATTAGTGATTAAGTGGAGAAACGACATTTTGGTAAGCAAGAAACAAAGAATGTATTAAAAAAATCATCTATTTCTTGAGGTGCACATGCTATTTTTTAACACGCCTGCAAAGAAAAGTTTGTATTTTGCTGTCTGATGAGCGGGAGGAAAGTACGAACTTTCCGTGCAGGTGTGTGAAAAAATCCCTTAAAGGCAAAAAGTCATGTATGAAAAGAAAATTCATCATGACAACCTTTTACTTTCAGGTAATTTCCCCTTTCTGAGGATATAAGGTAAAGGCAAAAGGTCGTATATGCAGCTCATGATCAGTCTGAAAATGTAGGTATAATGAGTTTCTCCGTAAAAATACTTTTCACGGAGAGCAACGGTAGTGGTCACATGGGTAGTGTGCGGCTCCGGCGATTCTCCAGGCTATTGCACCGTTTAGCCTGGTTAGTACTTGGATGGGTGACTGCTTAGCCGTACCTCTCCGCGTGGGACTACTGACGCTAGGCACGAATGTAGGGACTTACTGTGGTCATCGAGTCAGTGTGGCCGATGAAGACACTAGAATCCCTACAATATCGGCCGCCTGCATGCCTGAGGTCTTCCATGGTTTCCCTCAGTCCAGGCTAAATGGATGCAGCTGAGGAAGTCGGTCCATGGTAACACAGAGGGGGGAATACAAGAGGTAAAAATCAGGCCCAGTCGCTCGCTTCGCTCGCTCCCTCGTTAGGATGGCACCGGTAGGGATTAGTGGAATTGAGTGACCCATTATGGGTCGAACCAATAACTTTTCGACCGATTCCTCTTTTTCTGTTCATTAGAAAAACAAGCAGGGGACCGAGCCTATCCGACAGAAGGCATGAGACCGTTACTTTACGCGTTATTAGTCTTCACATTCCTTCATTTCTATCAATTCCATTGGTAGTATGCTTCCGAATGGATCCGCTGCAATTCTATTTCAAAAAATATTATTTTCGAAAGTGGATAAAAAAAATGATCAAAATAAAAAAACTAAATTTTGATGGTCAAAACACTAATTATTCCTCGGATAGCTATGAAAACGTTGCGATTTGCTCGAACGATCACAGCTGACTGATAGACTATATAGTTCCATACACCGCATCTAGTTCGCATGCGTGAGCGTTGGACCAGAATCGATACATGAATCAATTATAGTATCCTTCTTTATAGATATAACAAAATTGAAAAAAAAAGAAAGCAATAGAAGTCCCTTTTTCATAGTATGTCCTCATAGTTTTTTCGACAATCGATGCATCTTTATGTGACTTGGAACTAATAATTTTTGGGGACAAGAGTCTCAGCCATTTTCTTAGTCATTCGCTTGAAATATGTGAAAAAAATCGTTATGGAAGTTCAATTGAAAGAAAAAAAATAAAATTGAAAGGAAAAGTTTTACACAAATAATCGAACATTTGCTGAGACGATTTCATTCACAAGGAACACTAGGTGGGTGTCCGCCCCCGATTTTGATGAAACTTGAATATGTTATAGAAGACTCAAAACTAAGTGCCACGTATTTTTTTTGTCGGCCCATACGCGGGTTTAGGGCGTGAAACTGCCGTCTGAAGTTGACCACCTCCCGGGGTATTTCTTCAATTGCGCACATAGGGAGAATATTCAGACCATTTTTTTGCAATGTAACAGGAAGCTCATGGAAAATAATTAAGATAGAAATTGAAATCATCTCCGAGGGTTGAAATTTCGGGGGTAAACTACCCTCGTGAAAAGTCATTTATTCAATAAAAAAATATACATCGCTCCGAATTTCATGAAACCAATTTCATTTGGAAGTGCATAAAAAAATACAAAATACCTTTGTTTGCATTCTTTTTTAAATTGCAATTTAAAGGCAGAAGAAGATCAATTTTCTGGAATTGGCAACGTATAAATGTGGCATAAATGTAGCATAAATGTAGCAGTACATTCCAAACACTGACAATAATGTTTGTTTTTACTCCTCCTAGTAACTATCAATTCAAATAATCCAAAGGTAGTCCACACATTATTGTCAGTGTTTGGAATGTATTGCTACATTTATGCTGCAATGAAACATTGATACCGAAATGCAATGATTATAATAATCACTGGATGATGGGATTTAGAATAGAAATTACCAGTCTTATTGAAGGTCAGATAATTCAGTTTTTTGACATGTTTTTATTCAGCTTAATTTTTGGTACCGTCAATATGCAGAATGAATCATACTAAGGATCGTAATTCGTATAGAAATGGTATTCATCAAAAAAATGTTGCAAACAAAGTGATTTTTTGCACCAAGAGCATCTTACTACTGCAACATTGGAACAGCCTTCATATTCTCCCTATGTGCGCAATTGAAGAAATACCCCGGGAGGTGGTCAACTTCAGAGGTCAGTTTCACCCCCTAAACCCGCGTATGGGCCGATAAAAAAAAATCCGTGGCACTTAGTTTTAAGTCCTCTATAAAATATTCAAGTTTCATCAAAATCGGGGGCGGACCTACCTAGTGCTCCTTGTCAATATCCTATCAGGAAGAGGTTATATGAGGACGTATCAATTACCAAAAAATAAATAAAATCCCATCATTCTCCTAAGGGAAATCGTTGAATTTTTGACAAATTCTCATTTTTTGACGTTTTTTTTTTGTTTTATGCGAATAACGAGAGAACTGCTGAGGCGATCGCTTCCACAAACTAATCAGTTCTAAGTTACATGAAGACCCATCGATTGCAAAAAAAATTGAATCCCTTCATT